ACACACACGACTACCGGGTCTGGGCGCTGGAACTTTCCGAAATCACAAAAGATTTCCCGTACGGATCTGTATACTTCGAGACTTTGTTTCCAGTTACAGGGTGTGTATACAATGCGTTTCAGAAAATCATTCATCATAGGCCTGAGACATCTGCCTAGGCCTAACACTTTTATAGATGCTTTTTTTTTTCAATTTGAAATTTAACCTACTCATGTAGATCTACTTCTTGTTTTGTCTTATTGAACCGTCACATGATGAGTCACCTCATGCAGTCTTAGGTCATCTGCAGAAAAAATTCCCAAGATCGTTATTTCTAAATTCATAACCTTGTCACGTTTTAGTAATCTGGTCTTAAACCACTAGTGTTTTGACTCATTTTGATTTGAGTTTTCTCTGTTATAAGTGGAGGCCTAATTGATGAAGGTGCAATTTTGCTTTATGTTGCACACTTTTCAAATTTCAGATGTGGTACAAAAGGCAAATCCTCGCTGAAATACGCGCGTATACTTGCCTCAGTGAAGAAGAAGACGCAAAAGTTGAACCTGTTCAGGCATATATAACACAGTCTTTTATCAGGTATAAGTTTTGTACGCTGCTGTTGTATTTTGTAGAAGTGGACTTTGCATAAAATTAAGCTGATATTATGTATCTCCATCTGGTCTTACCCTCTTTGATTCCTCTCTCCCTTACTGTAAGGGCAGGTTTAAATGAACCCAATTTGTCTTGATGAACTTTTTAATGCGTTTTCACTGACCGTCTTGTAGAAGAAGCCGCAGTCTTGCACCGTCATTCAATTTTCTGAATTTACCGGCCTTGGTTTGATTCTACGGCTCAGCTTCTTTAGCTTTGGATGATTGTGGAGTTTTCATGGTTCTCCGCCTTCTTGGATCAGACCTGTCTGAGATGTGGGGTAAATCTGAGGTTCCCCTTTCTTGTGTTGAAAAGGGAATGAGTCAATCTCACAGTACCAAGCATTTTAATAAATTTGACATGTGTGAGGCATCGCGGTGAAATCAGGCGCTCGTCAAAATAATGAAATCGAAGAAAACGGCATTTTCTCCCAGTTTGGCAATTTTTATCAAGTTTTTTACGTTTGGCTCAACATCTTTTATGTCCATTTCAAAACACATTTGTTGATTGAGGCCCAAAAATTTTAAGTTTTTAGTTTCCAAGGACTCTCAAGCCTTATAAGTCCCCAAAACTTTGTTGGCCATTTACTCGCTAATTGAACCCCTGAAACCAGGCGACTCCCATCTCCTCCGGTTGCAAATATAACTCATACTTTATTAAGATTGATGGGTGTTTTTTTTCGTCAAAGGAAAGACAAGCGAACAAGCTTTAAGATGAGATATCAATAACTCCACAAATCCAAAAATTGACGAGCTCCTGATTCCAACGCTTCATGACACATTATATTATTGTTTTTCCATACATAAATAATTGTCTTGACTTTTAAAATCGAAATAAAGGGGAAGACAAACACTACACAAGCCTTAAAACTTTAAAGCCGTCCCTTGAAATTAATTATAGCTTTATGGCTTTGTCTTTGCCATTTTCCCCCCTCTTTCTTTCTCAAAGACACATGAGATCATAATGAATATACACCTTCACTCTCAGACATCCTCGCATGTATTTGCTTTTTACAGCAAGATTATTTACTGTCATCATAGCATAGAGTTGGGATGGTAAATAGTTTTTAGCCGGGGGGGGGGGGGGGGTTTGGTGAAAATATATATTGCATTCTTACGTCTTTGTTAAAAGTTTTGTTTTTTTAAGAGAGAGAAATTAGTCATTTGAACATTCAAGAGTCAATTAATTAACTTTTTTGTTCCATTGTGGGATAGAACCTTGATGTTCTAGTCAAATCCTAACTTTGAATAAATTTATCTTTTATGCAAAGTCCACGGTATGAAATGAATGTGTTTCACCATTGGTGCAGAAGAAAGTGTCATGATATGAGATGTCATTTTAATGTTTAAAACACTTTCATAAAGGTAGCATCCTTTAGTATACAGTCGAGCACAGATAACTCGAACATCCAAAACTTGAATTCACAGATATATTGCTCGAATGATCAGTCCTGGATTGAACCGCTTTATTTTCTTTGTACTGGCAATATCATCGCACATAACCTGTAGTTTGCGTATTATAACAGAACTTCATGGAATCTAGTCATGTGAGGGTTGGTGCTAGATGGTGGGGGTGTCATGGAAGACCAGCGGTGTGGCCCTGTACAGGGTCATGTGGTGTGTGAGTTATGTTTATGCGTGTGTGTGTTTGTGTCTGTGTGAGTGTGTGTATGTGTGTCATGGTTGTGATCTGATATAAAAGCAGTTCTTTTTATGTTGTAAGGCTAATTGGCATCGGTTTTTTTCTTTCTCTTGCTTTGACCAAATAAGGCACCCACATCCATTTCTCATTCTACCAATACCAGGGTACTTTTCATGACTTTTCGTGATGGATTTTCCAGCCCTTATAATGTCACATTTCTTTCCGTGATGTTTAACATCTCTTATTTCTCGTTATCACAGATTACTCAAATTAAGGATGTGTCAAACAATTTTTTGTCAATCCGGAATATGCTCAAGATATCCGTGCTGGACTGAGATTTTGATATAGATCTATATTACAACTACCGAGTCAGTCTTGCTGTTGTGCAAAATGGTAGACATTTTAATCATTCAGTCGTAAGATTTTCAGTTGAAATTTAGATCTAATTAAAGAATTTGGTGAACTGCAGAAACATTGACATTATAAAATGAATCGTATTAAAAGGTTTTTATCATGAAACAGCTCAAAGAATTTTGTTTAAAAATGTTTAAAGGAATTCTAAAAATTATAATTAGTTTATTTATAGAGCTTTGAATTATTTCGAGGTATCTTCTTGAGAGTGAGAGTAAAGCAAAAATGTCATTGTTTTCAGAGAGAAAAAATATCGTCGGTGTTTGGGATATTTGTCTGACAACGACAAGGGAGACCAGACTGAACTAGACTGTGGCAATAAAGAACAGTCAACAGCTGCTGACGGAACAACACTTCAGTCTCAAGGGGACAAGTTGTCAGCCACTTTGTCTTCTGTTGATTTGAATGGTTGCAAAAAAAACTTTTGTGACAAAAACATTGGTGCAGAAGCTTTCGTGCATTCTGATGAAAATGTTTGTATAAAGGGTGAACCTAACTCGGAAATTCAGAAAGAAAGTGAGAGTCTCTATGAAGAAGGGTTCGATTCCAGCTCGTTATTAATGGAATCCATGGGGCTGCCCACTAATTTTGGGCGCCAAAAAAAGAAATCGAGGAAAAAGGTGAGTTGAGTTGTTTGTTTCAACTCTAATCAGTGAGTTTTAATCTGATTATTGAAATGGATCTTCATAAGAAGATACCCTTGCAAACTACTATGTCAGCCGCACTTTTTTTAAATTCCAAAGTTATAAATTTTTGTGCATCTGTCTGGTGAGGCTGGGTTGTTTGACATTTGTGTTTGCGATTGATATTTGTGAGCATGAGACACGCGGCTGGTGATATTCGTGTGTGTGTATGGAAGCAGTGAGTTATTTATAATCCCCTGGGAAGATGGGAGTCATAGTTGGGCTATTTGGTTTAATACTTTATTGGAGATGTTTGTAGGTGGTTGGTGGGTGCTTTGATGTGGTTCGCTCCTTCTTTCCTATCAAACATTTGTCGTCCTTGTTTCTTCTTCTTTTTTTGTGTTTGTTACTCTCTTGTAACACCTCTAATCTTTGAGCGGGTGGTTGGAGGGCACCACTGGTAGGTCCCACTTCTTTACTTTCCCTCTGTTGTTTCTGTCTTTTTTACTCTTTTCCTGCACTAAATGACCATAATTATTGTGTCAGTGTGCTTCTCTTTACTCAAACAAACAAATCTAATCTTCATTACTTTGACTTATTGTTTTTGCAAGTACCATAAAACTCTTACTTTGTGAGTGGTTGGAGAGTGCTCTGGTGTGGTTTGCTTCTTCTTTCTTATGAAACATCTATCGTCCTTATCTCCCCTTCTTCTTTTTTATGTATGTTACTCTCTTGTGACACCTCTAATCTTCTGGCACTCATATGACCTTATACAGTTGCGAGCGCCGTAAAACCTCTACTAAAACTAAAACTAAACTCTTACTTTGGCGTTCATATGACCTTGCCTTATGCAGTTGCGAGTGCCGTAAAACCTCTACTAAAACAAATAAACTCTTACTAAATTAAAAACAGAGATGATCAGAAATGTTGAAGTTTAAAATGTTCAATTGCTGTGACTGGCTATCCCAATTGATACTATGACAATGGAAATGCGTACAAAGTTCAGTACATCTTTAGAAATCTTGGTTTCTCTTCCTTCGTTGTTTCTGTTTCATCACTCTCTCCTCTAAGGTTCTTGTTTGTCTGTTTTCTTCTTCCGTCCTTTTGAGCCCTACTACTCGGAGCGGGCTCGTGATGTGTTTGTCTTCAGTTCTCATTATAGCTCAAGCGATTTAATGGTCAAAGTGTGCCACTGGTATATCCTACTTCTTTTCTTCCATTTTTAAGTTACTTTCTGTCTGTCTTGCTCTTTTCCAGCGCAGCATGACCATTGTCATGTCAATGTGCTTTTTCTTACTCAAACTGAGCTAAAACTCCATCCCCCATCTCCTTTTTGCAGCGGAAACTGACTGAGAAACAGATTCGTGCAAAATTTTCCGAACTGTGGGATGAACATGGGGAGCTCCTAGTGTACAAATCATTTGTGTCTATATATCCGGCCTATGCAGGGTACTATGATCAGATTGCGGGTTCGATTCCGCCCTGTGAAGAGGTTGAGATTTCATGTTCAGATAATGTCAATGAGCCCAATAATGCTGGTGATCTGAAAGATGGGGACAGTGGACTGGAAGTATTTGGTGGGGCAAATTCTCACTCTGTTATCTCGGAGAAAGAGGGTCAAGTGGTAGGGGATATTGTTGAAGAGAAAGAAACAGGAAACGTGACTGATGGCGGAGACTCCTCTGTTGCTCACATAGTGAGTTCAGGAGAGGAAATCGTTTCCTGCAGTGATGATAAGGGCTTTGTCAGAAAAGACGAAAATCTTCATAAGGATGTCTCTGCACACGAGTCTGAAATGACAGATGCTGAAAGTTGTAGGCTTACTGATGAACCCGGTGATCAAAGTCAGTCACGTGCTCCTGGTGGTAGGTGTTCTTACAGCGAGCATTCTTACAGCGAGCATTCCTATAATGAGCATTCTTACAGTGAGCATTCTTATAACGCTGCTGAAGGTGTCAGGCAGTCTGGTGCTGACCAAGAACACTGCAGTCAGGAAGATTATGGTGCTGGGGAGGAGAATGAAAGCTATCAGTACAGTCCTGAGGAGTTAATTGGAATGCTTCAAGGGACTCACGAGGACTTAAAAAATCAGATTTACTGGCACGCGAAGGAAACGATTAGCGAGTGGTACAGAGAAAATCCCCATGTGGACTTTGACATTTCCTCTCTGGACGAGGATGTGATGGCCATAGCGTATCCGTATATGGATCAGCAGCAGCAGTGGGAGGGGGAGGGTGAGGAGGGAGAAGAGGACTGGCAGGGGGAGGAGGAAGACGACGAGTATCAAGGGCACTCTGGGAACCTCTATGCTGAGGAGAAGGATGAAGACCTCTTGGATGAAAATGGTAAATTGGATGACATCCCTTCACTTTATTGCTTTGGCTTCTCGTAGCACTAGAAAGTGTGCACTGCAGTTCCTCATCTTTCATATTTTTCTGTTTTATTTCAAACTTGCACTTTTGTACTGTACTCACCCGTTTTGTTGCCTCCTCACTGGCTTTGATTTTCCTGTTTGGGAGTTTGTTTATTTAGAGCATTTCATCTCTGCACTCCCCACTCGGCATCATATGATTATTTCGCTTGTTTGATTCTTTCGTTTGTATCTTATATTCATGCTTCCTGTCTGCATGACTTTTGCACCAATTTTTAAAATTTTCAAAGACCCAATGATTTAGAAGCACTTATTTAAGTTGTATTGTTTACACCTGATGTAAAGACCCTAAAGGACAAAGAATGATGTTTGCGGTGGTCTTGGATATCCAGGCTGAAGACTCACAGGCTTTACCTGAAATAGAAAAACAAATTTTTAAAATGAACTTATGTATAGAACTTGACTCCTTGTTACTTTAATTACTATTTTCCGTTTCTCTGTCTAAACGTTATGTTGATTCGAAAGTAAAACTGCATGATGTCAAAATATGAAATGGTCATCATCATTACCTTTCTCACCCCTGGATCAGGGTTTTGGTCACCAACAAACATCTACCTTTCCCTATCCTGGGCTAACCTGTTGATGTTATGCAATATGGAAAATTGACTCAAATTTTTGAAAAAGAAAACAAAAGTCCATCACTTCATACAAGTTTTTCATGGCACCTAACAAAGTTTAGAGCTTTGATTAAGTGTAACTCGGTCTCAAACATTCATACTGTAGAATGCAGAGGACAGAATGAGAGCACTTTCATTTGGCTCTACCAGTTTGCTTTGTGAAAAAAAAAAAAATGTTGAAGCGACTGTCTCAAGTCACTGCACACGTGGACTATACTATACTTTTGCTTGTTCGCTTTTTGCGTTTGTTTGGCATGGCAATATCATCACTGTCTGTGGTTCATTGGTTCCTCACTACTAAGTGTTTTTACTTTACACACTTCCTTTTTCACCACGTCAACTCATAGCCCGCTCCCTACCTTTTGTACATCCGAAATTTGTTGCCAGCACTCATGTTTTGTCTTTGACCCACGCTGTGAAGGTATTTTAAAGAGCCCACGATGCGTACATTTGAGTAGTTTTGATGTAAAGTCTTCAAAATTTGTGTATGCATACTGATTTGCATATGACTGAATTAAACCAAGTGAAATTAGACTAAAAATCTTCTTTTTTTTTTTTTATTTGTGCACACAATGTGAACCAGTTTAGGGAAGTTTGAAGCACCATAGTCTTGACAATTTACTCCACTATTTAGATCCCTCCATACAGATGTTAACTAGTTAGAAGCACCATAGTCTTGACAATTTACTCCACTATTTAGATCCCTCCATACAGATGTTAACTACTAGATGTTAACTAGTTAGAAGCACCATAGTCTTGACAATTTACTCCACTATTTAGATCCCTCCATACAGATGTTAACTAGTTAGAATCTGGCTTATTTTATCTCTCCTGCTTTTCCACCCTCTGGTGCATGTAATTCTGGTAATAGCAAATAAGTTTCATAATTGTGCCTACTGTTTGCTGTTGAATGTGCATGTAATGTTTACTTTGCTTTATAGCATTTCTTGTTATATATCTTTTCTAACACTAACACTATGAAAACTCACTTTGTGATTCAGTCAAGGTAGCTAGTTAAATGTAAGTTTTCTTATACTAACACTGTCGAAGCAGGCTTTTGGGCATATGGAGATATTAGATTAATTTCAAAGCTTGTTCATTTGTCTTGCTTTTGGTGAAAAAAACTTACCCTTCTATTTTTAATAGAAGTGGAGATTTAAGATGATACCAATAACTCCATATGCCCAAAAACTGGCCAGCTCCTGATTCCATTGCACCATGACACAAAAGTATAATAATATATTAACTGTTGAGTCTAAAAAAAATATATATATATTCAGTAAAAATTGCCCAATGGGCTGAAACTTGTTAATGTCTTTGATGTCATAATTTTGATGAGTGCCTGATTTCACCACGATACACACTTATCTTTTTGCCGTCTGCTAAAAGTATTTTTGCCGTGCAATGTGCAACTTTTTACAAAGAAAATGAATATAATTACCGATTAAACTGAAATCCCCCTAACGGCACCTACTTTTACTTCCATATCAAAATTCTTTTTAAATAACTTACAGAGCAGTTTTCGCCTGCTATCGGTTTATCTCCTTATAGAATACATTGAGTAAATTACATTTGATAGGAATAGTACACATAATTTCTTCTCTTTACTTTGCATCTATTAATTCATAAATTCAAAGACAAACAAATTTAAACTCTTTTAGTTATGTGTTTGTTCTTTTATTTCCCTCCCACTCATTTCTTTTTTGTCTTTTTTTTTTGCTGATATCTTCAGTCATAATGGAAACGTTTTTGTATCTCCTTTTTTTTAACAGGACATCAAAGAAATTGTACTTTCACAGAAACATTGGAACTTTTAGGACTAGCTGTAGAGAACGATCCGGACATAAGGTAAGAGCTTTGGCTTTTTGTGATCAAACTTGCTTTTCGTTGTAGTCACAGTGTTGCTCAAAGCATTCAGGTCATGCATGTGCAGTCCAAATGAGACAAGGACAGAACAGTTGGGTTTTTTTTAATTTGTCCAGAGTCCAGTTGTTTTTGTCTACCTGGTGGGCCTGCATCTATACACACCTAGAAAGGAAAGATATCTTTTGTCTGTAGTTGATCTCGAAAGATGACCTAATTTTTTTCAAAATGCGTATTATAGTAAGTGCCTTTGGTGTAGTTTTTGCTCATTTGATGTTTGGATTTGTAAAGATTGCTTTTATTAATGTGAAGGATATATTTGTTTTATTGTGCAAGAAAATTCTTTTTCGGTACAAAAACTTGAAGGAGGGGAGTCACCAGATGTGTCTTGCAGATTTTAGGACAAGAAATTGTCAGGTGCCGCATGGCCTTCTTTGTTTCCATCTTGTCTTGATTTCCAACCTTCTATTATCTTATTTGTTAGATATTCACTCATCATAGTTTTCAAAGATTTGCTTTTATAAAATAAACTTGCCTATCATATTTAGTTCACCAGAAGGAAGTGAATAACATTTGTGCCAGCTTGTAAATGGCATTAACGGAGATGTAAAATGTCATATTTAGATATGAGGACCTAGATGTGCAGAGCTGGCATCCCGTGAAGAACAAAAGACAATCTGGTTGAGCCACTGAGTTAGTAAAAGAGACCAATGCTATAGTAGCAACTAGATTTTGTAGAGGTTTAAACAAGTGAATTTTTATATACATAATCAATGTGCCACAACAGGTGATTATTTGTGTCTGTCCATAATGTTTGGTGTCTCTCCCAATCTTAACTTTGTTGGTACGAGAAGCTTACTTTTTTTTAAGGCTAGGTTTTTGTTTGTTTTTTGGGGGGTTGAAAAAAAAAAAGCAATATTTTCTGTGATGTCTTGTGGGTTTACCATACAAATCAAGTTGTACATTAATTCTTATACTTTTATCTGTCTGCAGAAATACAAGGAAAAGGAAACTAGTGCACGGCACTGTGATCTACAAACGCAAAAATATCCTGAAGGAAGGGAAGCGTTTGCGTTTAGACAACGGACAGGTGACGAAAGAACCTACTCACACTTTTTTCGACGACGAAGGAAATGCTATTAGTGTTAAAAATAATAACAGTGAAAAAGAAGAAGAACCCAAGAAACCTCAGCACATCATTTTTCCAGATAGTGATCAGGAAGAGGACGAAGGACCACTCAGTATGCCCATCAGGCACTTTTCCTCTAGTCCTGGGAGCAAGTTCTCCACTCAGCACACAGACTCCACCAACAATCGGTCTAAAAGAAGTTGGCGGAGAGAGGAGTTCGTTTTTGACGAATTTGGCATCATGCATGTCAAGGGAGAGAACGGCTCCAGGCCAACGACCGGCCATAGGTTCAGAGGGGACCTGGGATTTATCCCGTCTGCGATGGATGCATTCTTTAATCGCCCAAAACCAAGGAGTCGTAGCTTTGACGAGATTACCAGGACGAGGAAACCAGGGTTGTCTCAGGATCTTCTGGGCCTGTCATCTTTTGTGTCCAGGAACGTGTACAAGGCCGGTGTACGCAAAGCCTGGAGGTCTGCAGACGTAAGTGTATTTCTTTATTTCTCCCAGACATACACAAATGTAAGTGCATGTCTCTCAGGACTTTTACTTCTCTTTAAGTTAAAGGGTGTAGTTCTCACTGTTTAGTGCTTTGGGATTTCATTTTGTATGGGTTGCTGGTTGTATTAGTTTATAATACCACCGGACGCTGTGTTCCTGTGCTGTGTTTTCAGTTTTAAATCCTTAGTTTTCTTGCGCCTGTATTACTGCTATGCATTGTTGTCCTTGAGCCTTTTACTGTCTAGGGCGAGGACGTGAAGAGTCAAATGAAAGAAGCCATTGAACTGTTTTGGTTTAGAATATGGATTTGTATTTTGACATAATTTTTTAAATTCTATGTGTTTTGAAGTTGGTTGTCTAGATGGCAGGTCAAGTAGTTTGAAACTTTATTTGATTAAGACGATGGACATCATCCGCTCCTGTGCTGGTTCCTTTTATCTCAGATTTAATAAAGACTGGCAGTTTTTTAATGACTTTGTATTGTCTTATTTTAAGAATTCTCATGTGTTTCAAGTACTCTCCATTGAAATATTTTCCCTTTCTGTCCATTTTTTTCACTAGAAAGCATCATCTTTAGAATGGGTTGGATTGTACTATTTGGGTCTTCAAATTTCTACGTTTTACCAGATATCTAAGTTTGTAGTGTACAGTTCAAGATATGATTACATAAACATCAAAAACAAAACCAGTTAATACCAAATCAGTCATCATATATACCTTGTTTTCATCTACAGGACATTGTCACCTATGAGACATCTGTTGTTCTGAAAGGGGACGAGGAAAAGGCGCATCGTTCCAAGCAGGAGTTCAGGAGGCCCCCGGGCCTGTCGCCGGAAGAGTATAGAATTCGAGAAAATAAATACTTCAGCAGAAGATTTGAGCTCTTCTCACTCTATGATAAAGGGATCCAGCTTGATGACGGTAAGTCTTTTTATTATGTCTCGTTTGGTTTCTGTACGAATCTAGGGAAAATAAGTGGGTGGTTTGTGGGTGCTTTGGTGTGGTTTGCTCCTTCTTTCCTGTCAAACATATGTCATCCTTATCATATCTCTTCCTTCATCTCTTTTCCTCCTTTTTTTATTTATTACTCTCTTGTAACACCTCTATTCTTCGGCATTTATATGACCTAATTGTATTGCAAGTGCTGTAAAACGCTTACTAAAACAAAAAAATAGGGCAAATAGCTCAGTTGGTATCATGCTGGGCTGCAGGCCCCAATATATGAATCCTCAAAAGGGCATTTTAAACTGGGGTTGATTTGGGGTGTTTTTGAGACTCTCCACCCGGTTGACTCGTCCTATTCAAAATAGGGATTAAATTCAAAGGTTCCACCTCTTAACTCATTCGCTACATATCATTTTCTGCTTGTGGACAAATTTTTTTGCGGGAGGGTGAAATGAGATGGTGACTAGTGCTCAGTTCACAGGTGTTTGGTTTGGGCCACAAACTCAAATAAATATTAACTATATACCAATATTTTTAGTATGATTTGTAGAATACATCTGTAATGTTTATTTGTGTATTTTCCAACTTTGGTACCTGTAAGAGGTGATTAGGCAACACAATTTTACTTGGATGTGGATAAAATTTGGAACAAAAAAAAATTGATTATCTTTGGGGAAACTGAAAAAAATAATGTTTGCACCTAGATTCTAGTCAAATGATACATTAAAATAACCATAAATGAATATAGAACTGTTTATAATCTTGAAAAAAGTACAAAATGCATTCACAAACATAAAAAAACCCACTCATATCTTAAATGGAATTATTCAGAATTGCATTTGAAATAAACCTATACATGTTTTGGATGGTACTTTTTGTGTAATTTCACCAAAAAATAGTGACTTTGGGGAGAGAAAAAATATTTTGACAATTTAGTTCTAGACCTAGATCTAGCACTGAAAAATATTGATTTCTCAGTAACAGCGTACTGGCAATTTGTGTCCAATGGTGTCAATATTCTAAAGAAGAGTCCTGCATTCCTTTAGTGAGCAAAATAATGATACATTTTTTGTGTAAAAGTACTAAGACTGGTGTCAAGGCTATTTACATCACGATAAAACAAAGTCTTTCGAAATCGTGTTTCAAAACTGAATTTAAACTTCCGATTTTCAGGTGGAAACGCTTGACCTGGAAGTCAATGTTATATTATAACCTTTATTTTAACATGGATATGTGGATTGGAATAAAATCTAAGCTAGAATTATAGATCGGTTCTCGAGGCGTCGGGGGCGGCTTGGCGTACAGAAGACACTTTCGCCGCGCCACTGGCCACAGCTCGGCGTAGCGAATGAGTTAAATAATTTTACAGTTTTTAAATTGAAAGGGACTTTAAACCTATACAATGATAAATGAGTAATCTTTAGTGACTACTTCGTAGACCTGCAGCACTGTGAGGAAACTCAAATCCGCAAAAAATGTCAGATAGAACTTTGTAATTCTGAAGAAGCGCAGCGACCTGTCAAAGATACCTTCGTCTTCCCCTCCACAGCGGGTGGTTGTCTTGGACAGGTTTGGCGGTACCACCCAGTGTGCTCTTCTTTCCGAATGATTGATTTTATTACCTGGTCAGTGAGAATAATTATGAGGCTTTACATTTGCTTATTGTTGTGCGTTGCCTCCCCAGAGAGTTGGTACTCAGTGACCCCAGAGGCTATTGCTGCATACACAGCTCTGCGATGTAAGGGCAAGACAGTCATTGATGGGTTCTGTGGGGCTGGGGGCAATTCCATTCAGTTTGCCAAGCACGGATGTCGAGGTAAGTTTGGTTATGCTCAATTGAGACAAATCACTCCAATGGAGATTTCCTGAATTTTATTTTACTTAATTTTTTTTGGTATTTATAGATATAAAAGGCAGTTAATATTGTTGTTTTGCATAGTCTCAGAATTTAGAATTTGTTGTTTCTGCCTGTCTCATCAGCTGCTCTAGCTCAGTGTGCCGAAGGGGGAGGGGGGGGGGGGGATATGACTTCCAAAAGGTAGGGTGATATGGTAAGAGAGAAAGGGAGGCCAAGACTGAGAGGGAAAGAGAGTTTTTCAAGTACAAAAAAATACAAGAACTCCCAATAAGAAGGAAAAAAGAAAAGAAAAAGAAGTCTTGCAAAGAAAAGGGGGGGATCAATCTAAAACTAAAATGATAACATGGGTAATGTGTGGGCGCTACCTCTGAACCAACCAGGAAGCAGTAGTCAAGTTGAATGGGGCTTTGTGGGTAAATAACCATGGTGACTTGTAAAGGTGGTTGCGGAGTAGCTATAAGGGTCATCATATAAGAAAATGCACTGCAGGTCAGTGAAAGGAGGTCAAGTACGAGGGCTAACATTTGCATTTACAGCTCTGTACCTTTAAAGTTATGATGCATGTTCCAAACTTTTTATGAAATCTTTCCTGTTTCGGTGATCAGCTTTGATATTGATCCCCAAAAAATCATTTCATGATCAGCTTTTCACATTGACCTCCTCAAAATCTTTTCAGTGATCAGCATTGACATTGATCCGAAAAAGATTGACATGGCCAAAAACAACGCTAGGATTTATGGTGTGCTGGACCAGATTGAGTTCCACTGCGGGGATTTTTTTGAGGTAAGTCATTTAGTTATGTATAATAGTACAAAGGACTTTCTGTTACTTCCTGAAAAGACGAAATAGATAATTCAAGAAAAATGGTGAGAAATGGAATGACAGATGTAAGGGTTGCTATTTCATTGGCTGTGGTCATTCTCCAAGTAATTGTTTATTCAGATCCATAGCTAGTAACTGCAGCTTTTTTTTTTCTTTTTTCTTTTTTTCTTAGGAAGAGTTGAAGTGGGTCTGGGCAATCAATTTCAAGTGATATCATGAAGACATAATAAAACCTATTACTTGAGTGTTTAGATTTCATCGCAGATTTTCCCCATTTTCTCGGAGGGGGGGGAGGGGCGTTGTAATAGGTACTCGCAATCTATTACCTGCTAGGTTTGTTTTTCATTGTCTCCACGGACATCTGTAATGTAATGGTTTGGCTCAGGGGGCTCTCGTGGCCTAGAGGTTAAGGTGTTGGCCTCTCATTCAAAGGTCCCGGGTTCGAATCCAGGTAGTGACCGAAACATTTTCTTCTCTAAATTTATCTCCTTTCACCTCCTTTCCTGCTCTCTAGCAATGTTCTGTCGTCTGCTTTTGTCTCCTCTTTCTGCCCTCACTCCCTCATCTCCTTTGCCCCCCCTCCTCTGGGCTCCTGATTCTTTCTACAGCCTTTCTACTGCTACTCCTTGGCTTCTTCTTACTGCTGTCTTTCAGCCACACCCCTGATCTTCTGGTTGGAAAGATCTACACCTAGCCTTCTCGGACAAGGCGAAAAATCTCGGAGGGCCCGTGTGCAAGTTGCGCACATTAAAGATCCCTTGGTGGTCTAAAATCAATAAGAGTAGGCTTCGGCCGCTACCCGGGCAAAATTCAAAATTTCCTACCAACTGAAAAAGTTTAATGTGTCCCGCGCGCTCATATGACCTTATGCAGTTGCGAGCGCCGTAAAACACTTTCAAAAAATGGTTTGGCTCATGGCCTTACACACAAAAGACATGAATTTTATTCACATGTGAGGAAGTTAATGCACTGATTTTCACCATCGTTCTGCTTTCCTTTGTCTTGATATGTAAAATAATGTGATTCAGTTCAAGTCATTTGTTGACATCCTCCTCGTGGGTGGTTGCCGCATGTTCTGGTGTGGTTTCCTTGTTCTTTCCTATCAAACATCTATCGTCCTTATCTCTCCTCCTTCTGTTTTGTGTATGTCACTCTCTTGTAACACATCTATTCTTTGGTACTTATATGACCTTACTGTGTTGCAAGTGCGGTAAAACTCTTACTAAAGCTAAAAAAAACCATCCTCCTCTTCCTTCCTTCAGGAGGCGCTACAGTTCAAGGATGAGGCGGAGATTGTTTTCCTAAGTCCACCCTGGGGAGGGCCAAATTATAAGGCCTCAAAGGTTTTTCCAATGGAGGACATGCAGGCCACACGGGTAAGAAGCTCTGTTCTTGAAAGACTTTTTTCTGTGATAGATCGTTGTTCTATTGATTGTTCTGTCATTGAAAGAAAAGGGTTAAAGAAGCATTGATAGACCGAAAATAACATACTTAAAGTTAAAGATTTTGAACTGATCAGTGAAGGGAAAAGATTGGGATAATATGGGGTTGAGTTTGTTTTTTAGAGCAGCTGAATAGGAAAAAGTGACGAACTGTTATCACTGATATTTATTTCAGATCTAGCATTATAAGAAGAAAAGAAAGTGTTTTTTATGCGTGCAGATGATTAGAGAGATGGTGGGTAGAGGGCGCTACTAGTAGGTTCTGCTTGTGTACACCCTTTTTATATGTAGATGATTAGAAAATGGATGGTTAATTTAGTGAATCCTTTTTCTTCTCTCCCTTTCTGATGTTCCTGTCTGTCAGTCTTTCGTGCCTTTTTTTCTTCCCAGAACTAAATGACTGTTTGCTCGTCGATTCATTCATTTTCACTTATTTCACTCAAACTATGTAAAAGAGGGGGTTGGGTCACCGACACAGTCACAGCTGTAATTCATTGGTCTTTTGTTGTTATTTGAAATATGTTAAATCCCCTCATCAGGGCAGTGCTACTGTACTGACTGAAGGTGTCTTTAGGCCATTCCCAAAAGGGGGGGATATTAACATGTTCTTATGCGCTGTAGAATTGTAAATGGGCTGATTTATCAATGTCATGCTCATACTGTGCCGGAACAACACTGGGGGAACTGCTGCTTTTTCTTTCCTCATCCTTACTATCGTCATTTTTCCTCTACTTTTGTATGTTTGTCACTCTAGAACTGCTAATATTTTGGGGGTAATATTTTGATAGTCGAAGCAGACTTTGTGCTTTTGACGCTAGAGAGGTGAGCAGAGTGAGCCTGATTCCCTGTTTGGACTTCTCTGTTGACATCCAGCCCTTGGCGCTCATATGGCCTTATGCAGTTACAAGTTCCTTAAAACTTTACTAATACAAAAAACAAAAAAATGTTTTAAGATTTTGTTTCTTTTTTCCTTCTGCAGTTGTTGTCGATTTCACGGGCCATAACGGAGAATATTATTTTCTTCCTGCCAAGGAACTGTAGTGTTGAAGAGGTTTGTATTTGTACATTTTTATTTCTCACTATCTTTGATTCTTTGATATTTTCCAGTTGCATCCTGTCTTATATGTTAGCAGCTAATGAACTGTTCAGTGTTGTTTGCTTTTTTTTTTTTTCTCAATATTTTTGGTGGCTTATAAGCAAAGTAAATTTTTTTTATGCCATTTTATTGTTTACTTCAAATTAGCAATCTAGCAGCACTTGACTGTTATTCTGGCAACATGCTGTTCTTTTAAAAAAAATTGTACTTGAATAAAAGTAATAGTAAACTGAAAGATGAAAAAAGGTGGGGGGGGGGGTGGAGTTAAAGGGACTTGTCTTATTTTTCCTACAACGGAGTTGACTAAACCTGGACTCACTTTATAAATGTTTTTAAAATCTTTTTTTAAATATCGATATTTGGATAATTGCTCAAAGTTTTTCACTTGAAGTATGCCTGAGTGCTGTAAACTCATTTTGTTCAAATACCAAAAAGACCTTTTCTTTTCTTCTCTCCTGTACAGATTTTTTCGCATGCAGGTTCAAACAAGAAAGTCGAGGTGGAAAAGAACTTCATGGGCCGCTGTTTGAAAGCCTTGACTGCTTACTACGGCGACCTCGTGATGCCACAAAACTGGGGAGAACCTCAGGCTTCGAAAGGGACAAGCAGATGTCGATAACTTCAACACACGGCACGTGACATTAAGATTAAAAGTAAAAACCAGCAGTGTTTGATAGTTCTGCATATTTCGATTTATTAATTAAGTTTTCATCCGCTGAAGTAAACTACTGAATAGCTTCATTTACCCAGTTACTGTCCATCAGTAGAAGGCTGCTAAACTGATTAGACTGTGTCAACTACTGATTTATGTTTTATATTCTAATAGTTATAAAGCAAAGAAAACCTTGTGGCTACAAGTGATGTGTTCTGAAGTATAATCTTAATGCCTGAATATAATGATACAATGGTAGAATGTGTTCACAGCAGGAACAATGAGATTTTTATCCTATAGATGATCACAGCTAAAAGCATACATTAGTAAAATGATTTTTTTTAAATGACCGTTTCTGAACATGCAGATTTTTATTCCAGTTTGATGAAGCTAATTCACAACCTTTAGTCCATTGTAATGTTGTGAGATAATTTCCATAGGAATTTAGATTTTGATAATGTATTGGGCTTTTTACTCGAGTTTGATCAAAGAAAGTTGCCAGTCTGACACTCTTAGTATAATCGAAGACAAAATTCCCAGGAATAGTTTAAAATGGATGTTCTTTAGGATTGTGTGTGCTCCTGACTGAGAAAGAAAATACAAAGTACAAAAAAAAAGAAATGGTAAAAGAGATGTTCAATAAGGTTCTGTATGATGTTCGTAACTGAGAAAGAAAATGCTCGGCATTAGAAAGAAAGGATAATATTACTAAGGCTCACCAATGAAAATCCATCAGCATTGGGAAATGAAGGGTTCATTTAGTTGCCGAAAGTAAAGACTACCAAGCCTCCTGTAAGAAATGTCGCATTCTCTGTGCAAAGAAACATCTTGTTAACATTCAGATCATGCAAACTTCTCTTCTTTTTTTTTTTTGCCAGTGCTTCTTGTTTTATTCAGTGCCTCTCACCTTTAAATAATCATCACAGAATTATGTTTGTCAGTCAAGAGCAGACTTAAGTTTTTCATCATTTCATCGGTTCTTTTTCAAACCTCCTCAAGTAATGTCATTCATTCACTTAAAAAGCACTGCCCTAATAATTTTGTTTTGCTCATGATAACAATTTCATGTGAGGACACTTGCATTGATCTGGGTGTGATTCTCTACTTGTTCTTTTTAATTTTATTTTTGCTGAGGGCCTTGGACTTTTAAATATTCTTTTTAAAAATCGGAAATTAACTTCCTGTACAAGTCCACAATCTCCATCAGGTAGCTTATATTAGTTTTTAAATTATTAATAGGGTAGTTTGCTTGTTTGTGCTTTTTATTGGGGGGGGGGGATTTTATTTGGTTGTTTTAACAGAAAAATTCTTCAGACATGTCATGTAGGGATTCCAAGTTCTGAACTAGCACTGAAGTGGATTCTAAAGATCATGTGTAAAGTAAATATTTCAAGCTTTAGTGTGAAAGGACTTTGGGATGAAGAAGTATATGTTTTTGTTTGGCCCAAATACAAAACAAATACAGTGGACACTAGTCTAAAATGGCCTTCCATTGTTGAGAGAAAAATGGCTGTCTTGAGCAGATGTCATCTAATGCGCCCGCAGTCATTGTGATGTGAAAAATGTGCACAGCCGGAAATAGGAAGTGGCCGTCTGTAAAGGTGATTATTATGTTATACAGATGGCAGCTAGAGTAGGTTTGTCTGTACTTATACAGCTGCTGTTGAAGCTCTGAGGCTCTGCCATACCTTGAGTCTTTCATGTGTGTGAGTGGAATGGAGCAACTGTGTGCCTGAGAACTATTTTGTCCCAAGGGTGCTTAAGTAAATTGGCACTTTGGACAAAATAGTTGTGAGGTGACGAAGTGTTCATGTAAGAATTATTGAAATGCTTGTTGTATGATGATTCTCATGACTTTTTGTGTGAAAATTAAAATTGGAGGTTGCAATCTTGTAGGTTTTTTTTAGCTTATTTCTTGTGCTACACAGCTCTGGGTAAAAAGGAATGCTGACAGTTATGTGGACTGAATAGTTTTCTTAATCATTGTTATGGTCAAAATTGGGGTAAAAGCATGAATAGAGTTGCACAAGTGCTGTCTGGGAGTGAAATCAAATTTTGAATACATTTGTGTGTTCTTCCATCCTTTTAAGATTTTTAAAAATGTGTCAGATAGGATTTGGGGGATTTTTGTACTTTTGAAATAGATTTTCAGTGATGTATGTACAAAAGTATAAAGTATGTTGCATTAGTGTCCCGACTCTTGGTAAATAAAACCTACAAAGCCTCTGTGGTGTGATTGCCTCTGTCAGAAATGTTGAAGTCCTCTCCAGATTGGCAAATTTCCTATTAGTAGATTTCGGGCACAATGTGTTTTTAATAGTTATTACAAGAAGAGATTGCATTTATGTAGTAGTAGTGCATGTCTGTAATTGAAAGAAAGCTCTTGTGTGCTCTACGATTATTGCGAAAGGATGGATGAAGAATGTGAGAGACCCACCTTATTGTGTTCATGAATTTTTTACCTTTGTATGATTCAATTTAAAAGCTATGTCGTGTATAAACCACTGTGGCACTCGGTCAGCTAAAGATATTCTTTCTGACAAAAAATTGTTTTGAAGAGCATATATTCGTTTTAAGAGGTAGCTCGTTAGATTTTTAGGACCAGAGTTCTGAACTGATCATGATCTCGTGTATGATGGTTTTGATTATGCCGGGCAGTTTTGATGCTGCGTGACTAGTTTTGATATTGCGTGATGTAATTTTGAGGAGTTTTCTAATTTAAAGTTTAATTTAAAGAGCTTATAAATTATCTCAGGGAAAAAAGGTAATGAGTGCATTTTATTCCTAAAGCTTGTCTTGGTGTCCCTGGGAGAGGGGGGTAAGAACCATAGTAATCTGAAACTGTTGCTTTTAGTCCTACCTGATTTTTAGATTGCTTCAGCTTATTTGATGTAGATTTTGAGTATTATTTGATTCATTTTGATAGTAATGGCAGCTACTGTTACGCAGCAGGTTTCAAACTTGATATGTTATGCAAAAATTCATGGTTTGGGTCGAGGGTTCAAATTTAATTTTCTTTTCCCTATCTGAATATTTCTGGTCAGCCTGGTATTGTAACCCCGAGTCAAGTGCTGCAGTGACCTCAAGGACCATGTCCTTTGTGTCTGTGGAAAGGTCACACCTATGGAGCATTTTTGAGTAAATTGTCACAAGTTTCATTTGAACTTTGAGTGTAATATTGTATCCGTATATGTTGATTCAGACTTTGATTGAGAAGCTATTTCCTAAAGTCTGAGAAGCTGAAATTTTAGACATTTTATTAAAATATTTGGTACAGTTCTGCTGTTTGATTTTAATGTCACGTAATTTCATGTAATAATGTTAGCCACTGTCCTTGAACTCCAGTCAGAAATTATTAAAGAGTTCCTAGTACAGATTACGGTAACTTTGTTAGAGTTTTATGACTTTGTCAGTCAGTCAATGTGTGTCCGACTCATGTGTAGCAGTAGCAGTATTAATATAGTGTTATTACTTTCCTGAATTATGGTCAGGTAATGATTAGTTCAGTTCTTGGAAATGTGAAGTGGAAGGACTTGTTCCTTATCACTTCAGATTTGTTGTAATTTGTCTATTTTGTCAGGATTTCAGCAGACCGAAGGGCTAGAACCCAAATTGTCGCTGGATCGGAAAAGTAAAGTAAAGAGTCAGGATTTCAGATGTGTACATGTTTTGCCTTTTGGTCTAATGCTGTGCCCTGCGTGAGGCCTGTTGACTGACTTGAAGTGCTGTTTTGTTTAATGCAATGGGAGTATAGTGCTGCTCTTGGGGTTGTGTTGTTTCTTTATAGGGGGGGGGGGGGGG